TAATAGCAAGCATAGTCAGGATTAATGGGGAGTGGGGCTGGAACTGGAGGATCAAGCGAGGAGGGAGAAGAATAAGAGGACAAAAGAGAGAGTATGGAGTGGGACAGCTGAAATTAAGAGCCATGTGAGTAGAGGTATGTAAACCTAATAGCGGAGAAATTTCCTAAAATAGATTTTAACATATATTAATAACATATATAAAGGTGATCTAAATGAATTATTCAAATAACAGGAGAAACAAGATCCCAACTGGACTTCTCTTGTTACCAATTGAAGTTTACAATACTGGGAATGGCTTATATCTACCTGAATTGCCAGCCAAAGAAGAACCTTGGGACCCACAAACAACCCGTGCTGTTGTCATGGCTGTAGGTCTATCTTCCCAAATGCAAGGCAAGGCCCTATTGCTGAAGACAACACCTATATAACTCACTGAATATGGAGAAGTCAAGCTGGTGCCCATATAGGGTCTTTGCCTATAGAGTGTAGTGTTCTTGGTGCTGGAAGGAACTCTGCAGATGCCGAAGTAGAAATGCAAACACGAACACAGCTATAAACCCTTTAGTCTACAATGGTGGCCTGCCTGAATGATACTCTGGTAAAACAGTAGTGCAAAGCTTATTGGTAAGCAACTGAAATCTGTTTTGTTTTAAGGACCATACCATGATGTGACCCGCCCCTGACATTGTGTGAGTGACCAAGAATCTGAGACTAGAGAGCCCAGCATCTAGAGGAAAATGAAATAGTACTGTTCTTCTATGTAGCAATAAAATAACTTCTAATGACATTTTGCTACATTTGTAGATCAGTGCCTTACTCAGCCATTATCACAGAAGCTTCCTCTTGAAACAGATAGGAATAAATATAGAGACCCAGCCAGAAGATATGCAGAGAGTGAAAGACCTTGGACACATAGACATAAGTGGGATATCTCCAATAAATCCCCATCCTCAGAGCTCAGGGACCCCTGAATAAGAGGATGAAGAAGAATGTAAGAACCAAAGTGGACTGAGAGTCTAACGCGCCTAGTCTGACCTGGGCTTACACCAATTTGTACATGTTCTTCCAACTGCTGAATATAATTATATATGAAGCTGCTCTGCTCTGACAAAAATATTTCCTTCCAATTGTCTACCACAATATTTCCATCCCATCTTCCCCAATGGTCTCTGAGCTTTGGGTTGGATATGAGGGTGTAGAATGCATGTTTCTTTTAGGGCTGAACATTCTATAGGCTCTTATTCCCTGTACTTGGGTCAGTTGGGGTTCATTATGTTGATCACCATCTACTACAAATAGAAGCTCTTCAAATGAGAGTTGATAGGTATACTGATCTATTGATATAATCATAAGTCATTAGAAGTTCATTTAATACTATGCCCAGTTTTGTAGGATAATAAGAATGGGTTCTCCCTTGTGACATATGAACAGTCTAACTATAGGTGCTCAGCCTGATTCTGGTCCCAGGTATGGGTTTCGTCTTGTGGAACAGGTCTTAAATCTAAGCAGAATGTGGTTGGTTACTCCCATGGTGTTGGCGCCACTATAGTACCACTGGGCACCTCTTGTTAGGTCAGTCATTATTGTAGGCCAAAGGGTTCGTAGCATGTAAGACTGGTGATTTCTTTTCTTCTCTGGTAGCATGCATAGCATCTTTCAGCATTATGAAAACTAAGTCATTGTGGATTAAGGTCCATACCAGCTTGATTTCTCCATGTCCTATGATTTACATATGTGGTATCTTCAGCAACAAGGTCTTATAGGCCACAGAGATTTGTACAAATATTATTTGCCCCAGACTGCATTGTCTGAGAGAACCACTGGAAGATAAAACACCAGGACAAGATCTTCCTCAAACACAACACTTTCTATTCTTTGACTAGGCAATATTTCCTTTTAAAAAGATATTTTTTATTCTTGTACAATTTCATAATTTGCCTAATGTACTTTCAATCTTATTTATCCCCACTATTATATCATTTCTACTTACACAGAACACCATACACATACCTCCAAAAGTCCTTTTCCTAGTTTCAAGACTTTTGTAATTAACTGTGTTTATTTATTAGACGTCTTTGTATGAGCATAGATCGGGGTTTATTTATTTGGAGGCTGGGTAACTTACTAATCCCTATACCACTAGAGAAAATTATTTCTCTTCCTTCAGTAACAATTAAGTGTTGATGAATTTTTCAAGGAAAGGTCAGGTCTGGGCAGCTCCTCTCCCATTTTGATGGAATATTGATTGTTTCAAATTTTCACAAGTCTTATGTAGGTAACCACGATTGATGTATAACTAACTTTTTCAGGTTTATCTATTAAAAGCCTTAACGTCATATGGACATAGGCTAGATTTCTAACTTCTCAGGTATCATCTTCATAACCTCCTCCACGAGTTTAGTTGATGTTTCCTAAGACTTAATTTTCTATCTCTAAAATGGCAATAACAATATGCACTTCCTTTATTTATAAGGAACATTGATATGAAACCACTTACATGAATTTCTTCACTACCCAGATAAAATTTTCTCTCATCATTTAATTTTATCTACATAACTTACTTCATGTTTTCCAAAGAATCTTCACAGTTAAATTTTTTAAATTGCTGCTTTTTTGGTAGTGAGATAAACAAAAGGCTATGAAAAGTTTATTAGATACTCTCTAAACATGCATTACAATCATCCAAACATCATAATGAAAACACCACCAGCTAACACTTACTCTCACTGAGATTCTATCAGGGTTCTGCCCTAAGTATTCCACACGCTGTCTCACTAAGGCATGAAAAAGTAATTCTATTTCATAAAAAAGGAAACTGAGGTAGGAAATTTTAGAGATTTTATACAAGGAAAAACGTCAATGGCCAAATCAGGCAGTTTGCTATCCAACAAGTGTACGTGCTTTTGTTATATGGCCTCATAATGATAGCAGTAGGAATTATGGCAGAAAAAGTTCCAAAGGCAAGGCACTCATATACAAATGTTAGGGACTCACACTGGTCACCATTATTTGTGAAATGAAAGGAAAAACATAATAAAGCAGGATCTGTCTTTCCATATCTTCTGCACTGCTATGCAGGTTATTGTGGTATTATGCTTTGCAATATTAATGGGCATGAACAAGAATTTTGCATAATTCAGATACCTCTAGGGAAGCAACTTCAAATCATTCTTAATTTATGAGCTTTTGGTCCCCTGACCCAGTCACTTTGAAGAAGAAAATGACCAGGAATTGTTGACAAATTCAGCAGTGAAAGAACTGGAGAAAAAATAAGCAATCTGAACACCAGAATGTCTCATCCGAATTCACTTAGAAGGAAACTTACTCTTGCATTTAGAGTAAAATATGAGTATGAAGAATATGATTACCTGAAAGTAACAGATAGCAAGGAAACTGTTTTGTATGATATTTTATATATATATATTAGACCTAATTATTGAGGTCTATTACTACTAGTGAAAGACAGATCCTGCTTT